CTTACATTTCACCCTGAAAGCCTGGTGGAATAAAGCCAATTCTAGCTTACGTGATAAGATTATTTCACAAAAATCTATAAGAATTGGTTTTAGAACAATAGAGCTAGTAGAGGAACCTGTGGCTGGGGGTATGATTTTTTTTTAGAAAAGTTTTTTTTTTAATGCATATAAATATTTGATTTATTTGTTTTCCTAGGTACTGGCAATACATTTCTATTTAAAGTCAATGGAAAAGAAATATTTATGAAGGGCAGTAATTATATACCGAGTCATATATTACCAGAATTCAGCAGCGATAAGACTAGAAGTGAGTAATTATTAATATTGTTTTCTTCTCTAAAGTTGTAAATTAAATTAAAGTTAATAAGTTGCTGTTATCTACTTATAGTATTAAGATTTGATTTTTATAGTTTTACAAGAAAAACAAAATTATATAAAATACAAGTTAGAATCTATAGTCGATGTGATACCCTACACTAGTGAGTATGTGCATTATTTTTTATAATAAAGAATTCAAGTTGTTCTTTCCCTTAATTCCGAAATATTTTAACAATTTGATGACAAAAAAGTGATTTATGAGGATAAAGTTTTTCATCTTAATGACTTGAAAATTTTTTGAAGGGGCCTTTGTATGGGGACTAGGGCGAAGTAAGCACCGAGCATTACGAAAATCATCAGTATAATTTCTACTTATATAAAAGTATCTAATGGGGACTAGGTGAAATAATTGATTCATTGGGTCAGGAGATAAGTACATGCCAAACTTTATTGAATTATCTTGAAAATTGCGTCCTGTAGCGTGCTCTCATGGACACGCAGACGGACGGAAATGGCTTATTCGATTCTCAGCCTATTTGCATACTTTAAGCGCAGTCGAATATGACCGTCGATCTGTCTGTTTGTTTGCAAGTTTGTTCAAATCAATTTTCTGAATACCCCAGACATCATCGTTATCCGTATCTTCAATAATACTATTAAAAATGCTTTCGAAAAGTTTTATATTTAAACTCAGCGAAATTGGTCCATAAATGTATGTATGACCAAAATTCAGAAACCACCCATAAAAGCATTTTGTTTTATTCTCAATTCTCAATCTTCTCAATATTTCAGAAACTATGGCAGCTAATTCAACACATTTTATCACAAGGCCCTATAATATTTAATATAATAGAATTTTAATAGAATAATCTACAAGTTTGGGTAATAAATTTAGAAAATTTGGATCGCATCACAATTGATAATAGCATCCATATAAGGACCATCTCCGAAAATAAGTTAAACGTACATAATTCATTAAGAAATAACCGTATAGGGACATATAGAGAAATTTTCGGATCTGTTTATAATTGATCATAGCTTCCATACAAGGACCAATTCCGAAAATCGCAATTGTCATTAGGAAACCAAATTTTAGCTATCTTTTCAAAAAAAACTTATAGCTGAAGGTTATTTAAAATAGCCAAATATAACATTCTAACTTGTTGTTCTTTAATTTCACTTTTCAGTCAAACACCTCCTTCAAGCAGCCAAAGATACACATCAAAATATGATACGTGTCTGGGGAGGTGGTATATACGAATCAGATGAATTCTATGATATAGCCGATACATTGGGTATTTTAATATGGCAAGATATGATGTTTGCTTGTGCTATGTATCCAGCTACTGAAGAATTTTTAGCTTCCGTAAGAGAAGAGGTCTTACAAAACGCCAAAAGAATTGGACATCATGCAAGTGTGGCCATTTTTGCAGCAAATAATGAAAATGAAGTTGCCTTAGCACAAAATTGGTATCAAACCCTTTTTCATTTAGACAAATATAAAGCAGATTATAGACAATTGTATTTGGCTACCGTGATACATGAACTCAAAGTATTGGATTATCCCACCAGGCCAAGACCTCTAGTATCATCCCCTTCAAATGGTAAAGAAGAGGTAAAAGATAATTATATTTCAGCGGATCCACAAAATCCTAATTATGGTGATGGTAAGTAAATATCGTACACACAATAACAATAATTTCAATTTTGTTCCTTGCAGTTCACTTTTATGACATTTTCAAAGACGCCTGGAGTCCTAACATATATCCCCGTCCTAGATTTGCATCTGAATATGGTTTTCAATCTTTACCTTCTATGCCATCTTGGCTTAAAACATTAAATGATTCAGATAATTTAGAGAATTTGGTGCAACATAGGCAACATCATCCGTTGGGCATGTTGGCCATAACCGGTTTAGTTAGACGTCATTTTCCTCTGCCCTTGCCAGAAGATCCCGATTATATAGAAGCTCTAGTATATTTCAGTCAAATTTCGCAAGCTATGGCTACAAAAATCGAAACTGAAATGTATCGTAGTTTACGTGATACTCAACACAGAACTATGGGTGCCTTATATTGGCAATTAAATGATGTATGGGTGGCACCTTCTTGGTCTTCGATAGATTATTATGGAAATTATAAGGTAAAGTTGAAATTATTTCAAACAATTATTTTTTTAACTTAAACAGTTTCTTTTAGATATTGCATTACTGGTCTAAAGAATTCTTGGCTCCTATAGCTATAGTGGCCTTGTTCGATTCCGATACTCAATCCTTAAATGTTTCACTGATATGCGACTACTTTGAGGTAGATACTAAGGATTTACTAGTTACCTTGAACATTTACAAATGGACGGAATTGTTTCCCAAGGAAACACTACAATGGCCAGCTATTTTGGTAAGACCTTATTCACGTATAAATTCAATTAATAAATAATATATGGAACCCTATTAATAGAAACCCAATGGTGTCCATTATGACAAAGTTATACCCATTACCGATGTCATTAAGCATCCTTTTGATAGCAGCAATTGCTTTTTAGAATTCATATTGCAACAAAATAATGAACATCTGGCCCGCACGTTTTATTTCCCGGGTACTTTCACACAATTGGTTAAGGATCCCGGTTTAGAGGTTTGAGAGTTAAATACAAATTTCATTTTTAAACATTAATTTTTATTATTATTATTCCGTTTAGCTTAAAGTTACTCACACAAATTTGTGTAAGACTACACAAAGTCTTAAAGTGAACAGTTACAGTTTAACTTTAACTACAAAATATCCTGCAGCTTTCGTTTACCTGGATCTTATACCGAATCAGTATAATATTACAAAATATTCATTTTCACATAATGGTTTTATGCTGGTGTCTCCTATAATGGTTTTATATTTGGAGATCGAAGCTAAACAGTGTATTGATAAATTAAATAAGAATGATATTAAAATATTAACAGTTAATCAATTTAGGTTATAATAGTAGTATAAGATGATTTATATGTTTATTTTTCCTTTAAATATTTACAAACTTATTCTCAAAGGGACTTAGCTCAATATCTCAAATATTTTAATGAGATATTTTAAACTAAATATTACAGATATTTTAGAATAATTTTATAGTTTATAGTATATTCTACCAAATATATAATAAAATTTTATAAAATTGTGTAGAAATTTATTAATACAACACTGTATTCAATTTTGGATTTATTTTTTTAGGACGTTGTTATTTATAAAGTTAATGCATTTTCGATGATTAAGAATACATACAGCTTCTTAAGCCAGAAATTGACTAAGGATCCATAAACATTTGATGCGGTCTGTTCGTCGGTTTATTCCCAGCATAAGTTATGCTTACCGGGTAATGTCATTTTGAGGAAAATAATTGATATCCAGGGCTCAAACCACATACCTCATGTTTGTTAAACGGAAGCCCTAGACAATTGGGTTATAAGAAATCTAAATTGTCTCCTTCTTTACCAGTAATTACCTATTTAGATAAACGAAATAATGTGCTTGAGAATGATCATTGATTGCCAAGTAATGTGTGAAATAATTACTTTCATTACCATGTAAGGAGTTAAAATGGTAAACTTTACTTACACAATAGCATTTTAAGTCACTATTTTAACACGGTAATGTCATTGGAGGCAAGCACTTACCACAAACTATTACAAGTATTTGGAAAAAGTAGTAATTGTAAATCGTATGAAAAACGTACACAGCTTCTATATCTTCACTGGCAAAATGATTAATGAATTATAAAGTATTTCAACAGCACATTATTAGTAAGACCTTATAAGACTACTTCTATGTAATCCAGACAATATGTAGTAGTCATTGAGAAGTATGTTGTTAGGTAAGTAATTACATTACCTAGTTTTTGCTGGAATAAGCCGTCAAAATTTTGTGTAGAAGAGTACGGATGCCTCAGAGGTTTTACATATATACTTAACATATTCGTGTCGAATCTTACCATGATATCGTTAATAATTCATGAGTTATTTGCGATCAAGATATTTTCTGAAGTTGAATTATGTCCGTTCAATTGATTTTCGGAAGGGGAGCTGTGGACAATTTTGGACCCATCCAGGTTTTATTTAGTAATACAATGTCTATATTACATTTAAATCTGCCAAATTTTTTGGTAATACCAAAGCTCTAGAAGGAGTTATTAACGATAAATTTATTTTCCGGAAGTATGTAAATTTGTATGTGAGCTATATGAAATTTAGAACCGATTCTAATAATTTTAATTAATTTAATTAATCCCTGATCGAAAGAAAAGACTTGTGAAAAAATATGTTGAAATCAAGCAGGAAAAAACTAATTTAATATCTTCATGAGTTATTTCGGAATTTTGATCATATCTCAGTTATTTATGGACCAATTATGCTGACTTTAAGTATCGGTCTTCTCAAAGGCATGTCTGATAGAATTATTAAAGACTTGGATCGCGCAGGTACTTGGGAATTTCTGAAAACTACATACATACGAATAGACAGACAGACATGGCTAAATTAACTTTGCTATCTATATGAACTCGGAATATATAAACGGAATGACAAACTTATATGTATGTATGTATGTATGTATGTATGTATATACCATTCTCACGAAAAAATACTACTATGAATTACCCGAAAGTAAATAATAAAAATAATCACACAAAAACATAATTTAAATATTTATTTTAGTTATTTCGACAATTTTTTAATTACAAACTAAATTACATAGTAACTTTTATATTAAACTGATTAATAAATAACAATTACTAATTAATTAACACTCAAACATACTTATACTTCTACAACAACTATCTCTACTAAATGTTAGTGACAATAATGTTAATGAAGTTTATCGACAAGATATAAGCAAATATAACTCGGAAATCAAAATCCCCAGGTCACATCTATCCATGTATATCTATCTATCGAATGTTTGTATTTGCACCTTTGGCGGTATATAACCTTCGGGATATGGCACCAATTCGTTATTTAAAACACGAGCATTACGCCAAGTTTTCACTTTATCTTCAGGTGTATCGGGCACACGTATACCTTCGATCACGGTTACAGCGGGACCATCAACAATAGTGCTTTGTGGCGAAGAGGTCTGAGGTTCGGTGTAAATGGGAGCATCTGCTTGTGCGAAGTAAGGTTTGGCAGTTTGTTCATATTTTAAGGGTTTAAATTGCATTTGCTGCTGGTAGCTATCGCTTTGCTGTTGAGGAGTGGTCTCTTGAACCATAGCCGAAGAAGTAATCATAACCGGTTTAGGTACATAAATCGTTTGTTTTTTAACGGGTGTGTAGTTATTTTTGGTGATTAAATTGACAGGACGCTTATTGCGCTGATATTCGTCAAAAGCATTATTCAAATCAACAGAAGATTGTACGTATTTGGAGCTGCGATAAAGATTGTCTAAACGTTCATTGGGAAAAGATTGGGTATAGCCAAATTCTGCAGGATAGGAAACGGGTACCATTTGTTGTTGTGCTTGTCTTAGATTACGATGACGCAGTTCATAAACTTCCATTGGTTGCCATTGTCTCTCGTGGCTGTAGTCGTTAGAATCTTGTCTTTCTGAGGGAAAAGAAAATTGATTTGATCTGCCCAAGGGTATATAAGATGGTTGTCTATTACTGGATCTGGTTTGTTGAGGCATAAAATACATATCTTCTGTATATTGTTGGGGATGATAGGACTGTGGTTCTTCGGCTTCAAATAACAATCTACGACCAGCTCTGGCCATTTTTGGTTGCCAAACATTTTGCTCTTGTTCTCTAAAGTTTTGAGATTTAATTAATTTCAATTTTTCTAATTGCTGTTGTCTAGCCAAGGCATCATCCATACGCTGTTTATACTCCTTGGATTGCCTTGATATTTCGACTTGATGTAGTAGAGTTTGTGTATGTTTAAGATCTAAATCTTGGGGTCTTTGTGCAGCCTTAGATGGTTGTTCTCTTACCATGCCGGCTGAACGTACAAAGAAACTTTTCGATTCACCAGATTTAGCTTTTCGACTATTTTTACCCACCACCAATTCAACATTTTCCCCTTTGTTGCCTCGAACAGTAACCACTTTTTCTTTCTCGGGATCTAAACCGCGTCCAAATCTTAACTCGGTTGTTACATAGGTGGGGGTATAAATCTTTTTCGGACTATTCGCTGTAGCAGGAACTGTAGCTGGTTCTATAGTATCGTAAGTTCTTTGGTATGAACCTACGCCAACTTGGGCATAGCTGAAGTGACTAAGTGTTACACCTAGTAGGAATAGTAAAAGTTGAAGTTTAACTCTCCCAGCAGACATGTTATTGGAGATTGGATTATTGGTTTTTGGGTCGGTTGTTTAAATAGCAAAAATATGTAATTGATTTTATTACACTTGTATTCTGAAAATTTAATAAAATTCTTGATTAATTTGGATATTTTTTATAAGTGCTTGGATTGTGTAAGTCTCTTTAAAAAAGATTTAAATTTTAAAATTCTTGTTTATATAGGAAAGAGGGTTTTCGCAACTTTGGTATATATTGTCATGCTCTACATGTAGTGCTTTAATTAATTTAAATTTCTTTTAGAATTTGGTAATATGTTTTGTTTTAGCTTGCCTTATCAAGAACTTATAACGAACTCAGTCGAAAATTAATTAACATTTTATGTTAATACCGAAATCAAAATAATTACTATTAAGCGGACCCAATTGACCCATTTTAATTCATAGATATTTTGCTCAAAACTTGCCACAGTTTTTTTTTCAAATAAATTTAAAATTCAACTGACAACCAAAATTGTTTATACTCAGCCTATCAAAAACCTTTTGATCTCAACATTTCCCGTTAATTTTGTTCAGTGTAAACAATTCCAGTTTAACTTGGTTTAACATTAAACAAACGTTTTTTGCAATATTGAAGTATGATGTAATATTTTACTCAAACAAAAAATTTATAAGAGTGTAAGCTGAGAATAATTTTGTAGAAAAAATCAAAAGTGTGAGAAAAATAAATTACCGGTAAAACAAACAAAACAAAGCTTTTAACCAAAAACAAAAAAAAGCAAACCGTGACATTGAAGCCCATTGAAAATAAAATACAAAAACAGTCTGAATAACAAAAAAACGGCAACAACCACATACATATTTAGTGGTAAAAAAACTGCAGATTACAAAAAACTACAAATACAGTTAAAATAACAATGACTTTTAAATGGAAATAAAAAAAAAAACTGAATGAAAGATAACAACAATAAAAAGCAAAACAATTGTAAAGTAAAATTTACAATGAACATGAACTAGTTTTTTGCTTAAGTCTTTTGTATTACAGATGACGAGTCCATTGTATTATCAGCTGTTGCAGAGTTGCCGTATTAATTAATGTTCAGGGGAAAATTTTTATACTCATCATTCCCTTGGTAAGAAGGTCTAGCAATGTCCGTCCGTCTGTTGGGAATGATCTGATAATGCAATGATTGATCATTAAAATGATGTGGTGACTGTTGAATACGATGTATCTGAAGGAAGAGATGGAAGTGTCGGAAGGGCGTTGATACCGAGATTATAGATTCAATGGGTGCGGTGTTGGGGTCTTCGTTGACCCCTCTCTTTCGATTCGTCTGGTACTTTTCAGCCTATCGGGGTAGCTTGCTTCCTGTTTTTCCGCAACGTGATAACTTTGCAAGAGATTAGATAGCTCAAGCTCTTTAGCAAAGTACTTGTACATGGACCGGCTCAGCCATGTACAAAGATTGCCACCTGATTTCTTCATAGAAGAATTCAGGGGAGAGTGGTAGACCGTTCTCAAGTCTACCCAGTGGAAACCAAAATTTCTGATATCAAAGATAACAATTTATATGCAAAACGAATATATTAAAAATATGTACATACATACATATATTAGTTTTGTTAAAATTGTTATCAGATTTTATTGAATTTAGAGTATTAAGTTTCTGGCAACTCCTTGTATCTCTACTGAGATCTTTGGCCCTGTAATTTTTGTTTTTATTTCATAACATGCAATTATACCCAGCAAACACATATTAAATTTGGTTTTTTATTACTTATGCTTAAATTAACCAATTTTAAATTTCTCAATTAATTTGAGTAAGTTGTGTATTAAGTAATTTTTTCAATACATCGTAAATAAAATGTCAATAAATTTATAATATTTTTCACTACATACTTGAACGAAATTTGATATCAAATCGCATCTAATTTTGGATCAAACTATCGGGTTTACTGGGTATTTTATTGGCATTGTACTCGCATTAAAAGATCAACAACATTTAACTTTACAACAACACAAAAGGTGTTGGTTACTCTCGAACATGACTTCTCTCAGTCTCCACCTCTTCGAAGTTGGACTCTTGAGAGAGGTGATGAAAAGTAATGAAAGTGAAAGTATCAATCAGCTGTTAATGGCTAGCATATTGTGGAGTAGTAGGTACATACATACATATCCAAGGTCTATGAATTTTGGTTTGTTTTGATTTTTATTCAGACTTGTGGAAATTTAATATTTAATATGTGGGTTTGTGAGGTTTCTCATTTGTTTTTTTCATCTTCTTCTCTATAGTATGTTAAAGATACGCTTGACAATCTTAGTAAAATTTCTTTAATATTTACACACGCCTACTTTTGCTTCAATTTTTCTTTTTATATACATATTTTTTAATAATTATTTATGGAGAAGAAACATGATAAGAGGCCTTGAAAGCAACTAAACTAATTGTGTTGCATGCTGTTAAGTGAGCATACATACATATGTGTGTTTATGTGTATGTTGCAACATTTATAAAAAAACTAAGTATTTTTTTCCTACAAAATTGGTTAATTAGTAAAAAAGTTAGTTATTCTTTCATGATAATCTCGGCCTTATGAAGCTTGATAATAGAGACAAGTTGAGATGAATTTCAACACGAATATATAATTTAAAACAACAGATGCATAAAGTGTTACAAATGCTTGAAGATATATTTTTTTTCGATTTCCAAATTAAGCAAATTGAAGTTTGTTTTCGTTTAGAAAACGGAAAGTGTTTTTGTCAGAATAAAAGTGCAATTTCGATATATGCTCACATATGTATACACATATTCATAATTATAACAATAATTATGGTTTAATTTACACCTTAAGAAAAAATGTTGTGAAAAAAGCGTAACGTTAATTATAGTGGAAAAAGGAAATGAATTAGAAAAAATACTCTATATAAGTAAAAATGATAAATAGATTAGTTAAAAAAGTAAATCAATTTACTTCTATATTATTAAAGATCCCAAATTAATTTTATAACTTTTGCAAATTACAGATTTTCTTATATTTTTATTGCTACAGCGCACAGTGTCGGATTTTGCAAATTTAAGGGAACAAAACTCAAAAAATGTTTGATTATTTTTTGCCATTGTTTGAATTGAATATGAGAGACAATTGTCCATATAGAAAACAAATGTATTTAAAAGTAAAGAAATGTTACCCAAAACATAATAACAGTACTCCGAAAGTCGTGTTTATTAAAGAAAATTAAAACTAATTTTTACCTGCTGCATGTTCCCTAACTTTGAACTATTATAACTTTTTTGTTTTTGAAGATTTTTTAATTTTTTTGTCGTTTTTTAAGCTTTTATTATATTTAATAATAGCAATAACTTTTTTAAAAGTATGATTGAGAATAAGGTCTCCACATATTTTAAAGTTAACCGTTATTTGTAAGTATATTTAAAAAGTGAGACATTTTTTCATGGACTTAAAAACATAGAACACCACATGATTCTGGGGTTCTGTTGTACCCATATGATAAAATGATATATAATCTAATGGGATTATACACATTTTTTCAAAAGTTCAACATGAACTCGCAAAAGTTGCATTAGTACATTTTTGATGTTTGGTGTTGAGCTGTGCCATTTAAAACTTACATAAATAAACTCTTTGATTTTATTTTACGAGATAACATCAGTGAAAATTAAAACAAATTTACTTAAAAACTTTTATGAGCAAAAAGTACCAATTTTTACCCGTTTTTCCCCCTTTTGCCCCTTTCTGGGTCATGTTACGAAAAAAATATATAGCAATTGATGCTTCCTAGTGTAGATCTATCAATGTTTTAAAATTTCTGTGTTTGTAACATATACTGGCGTAATTGGAACATGCACAAAAGGTGCAAAAAGTACCAAAAATACAAAAATTTTCCCGTTTTTACCCTTGTGTTTTAAATTTTTCTAAAGGTTAATATTTAATTGATATTATTTTAAGTAATTTTTCACTCATATTTAAAATTTTGACTCTATAAATTTCTTTTTTACAAATGAATGTAGAATGCCCTTTTTTGCCCGTTTTTACACCCTGAAAGGTTGCAAAAGTACTTTGCTAATACATATATTTAAAAGTTTTCAGAGATAAATCTCAAAAATTTTCACGTTAGAATAAAAAATTAACATTATATAAGAAAGTACTAATTTTACCCTTTTTTCCCCCTTTTTGTACCTTTTTTTGGTCCAAGATAAAAAAGTGATATAGCCTATTGACATTTTCATAGCTTTATGTTTAATAATTTCAAAATTCAGAGTTTAGTCCCCCTAAAATTGCAAAATCTGACACTGTGAAGCGGTTATAAGTTTAAATTCGGAATTCTAATTAAGTCTCAAGAAAATATAGAATAGAAATAGAAAATATTCTATTAAGTTATTTCTTAATTACTTATATGCTTTTAAGTGGACCTTATATGGGAGCTGTGACAAAATATGGATCGATCCGGAAAAAATTTCCCAGGGTGTTTTATATGTACTTTAAAGACATTCACGATGAATTTTATACCGATATCTTCATTCAGTAATGAAATATGCCTTATATGGGAGCTATGCCCAATTATGGACCGATCCGAAAAATATTTTTCAGAGTGATATATGTCTACACAAAACATATTTATGTCGAATATTATTTCAATATCTTTATTCCTTAATTAGTTATGTGCATTTAAGTGATTTTCGAAAGTGGACTTTATATGGGAGCTGTGCCCTATTATGAACCAATCTGAAAAATATTTTGCAGAGAGATATATGTAAACACAAAACATTTATTTCGAATATTAATCCAATATCTTTATTTCTTAATTAGTTATGTGTATTTAAATCACTTTCGGCAGTGAACCTTATATGGGAACTATGACCATTTATGGACCGATACAGATTTACGTTGGTAATATGATTTCTGTTCATATTATATGTTGAAAATTTCGTTGTGATACCGATATTTTAGACGAAGTTATAAACGATAAGCCTATTTTCGATAATATGTACCTTTGTATGGGGGCTATGGAAATTTTTGGACCGATTGTTTTGAGTTTGAACATAATTGATCCCTGGTCAAAATAAATAACGTGTGATAGAATTCATTGACAGACAG